GCCCTCCCCTGGGGCCCTGCAGGCAGGGGCCTCCCTCTCTCCCCTTGCTCTCAACTCCTGCGTCAGCCACAGCTGCTCAGGCCTTCGGGCTCCTCCCAAGTCCCTCTTCCCTGCTGGAGCTGTTCAGATCCCTTCCGTCTGCGCCCCTCGGGCTCTCTCCATTCCTGGCCGTGCAGCCCTTGCATCCGTCCCTCACTAGCTCGGTCTCCTCTCCATGGAACGACAAGGTAGCCGTTTCACAGAACGTGAGGGCCAGAGAGGAGGGACCGAGTCAGTGTCCAGCGCTGTCCTGCAGGCAGTGTACGCAGCACTTCAGCTCTGGGCCACGCCCTGGAGCACCCTGGAGTAATTGCTTTGGACTGGAAAGGGCTGCTCCTGCTCTCTCCCTGGCTAGGTGATAACTTCCGCGTGTTGCCTGGCGCCTGATTGTCCTGTGGTTGCGTCTCCTTCTGGGGATGTGGAGCCTCTTCTCGAGCTCACAGCTCTTCTGAAGTCTAAGTGAGATTTTCTGTCAGAAAACAGCACAGCCCCTGGCGCTCCGTCAGAGCAGCTGAATCTCCAAACTGGCTCATACTTTTGCAGCCTGTGTACTTTCACTATGGGGCTCGTAAAATATATTCCGTAAATCAAGGTGGAATGGATCCCGCATTGGAACAGAATTTATAGTGCTGTCTAAAAAAAGACTGAGAGAGGCAAACCTTGAGATGATTGGTCTAACACACTGTCAAGAAGTTGATGAAACTCAATGGAAAGTGGATATAAAATATACACCCCACACTGCCCACTATTTAAGTGTCGGCAAATTCATTCACAAAGTTCCCAGCTCTTGTTTTCCATCATGTCTCTGTGTGCTCTCAGGAAAAAAATAATGTGTCTGTGTTTGCCAAGGGAACCTTTAGAAGTCCTGCTTGTGTTTTTAATATTGCATACTCTACTTGTGCAGTGTTTCCTCTTGAAGCAAATTCATGAAGCTCCTTTTAGCATAAAAACAGTAGGCCTCTCCCTTGACAGCCGATCTTACCGTTTTATTAATCAAGTGTCAAGTACAAGATTTAAATTTCCAACTATAAGAATTCATAATCCTGTAATCCCAGCTCAGAGGGAGGCTGGGACAGGAGGGGTGAAAATTTGAGTCCCACCTGGGTGACTTTGTAAGACTGTGTCTCAAAATTAAAATAAGTAAATAAAGAAGGGTGGGGATGGAGCTCAGTGGCTTTGACTCCGGGACCCATCCTTCCAAAAGAAGTCATAAGGTTTGAATTTTGAGAGCCTTCTCTGCTCCAACCACTGGTTCTTCTCTCTTGACTTCTTTAGCCGAGCAAAACCCGACCTGTTAGACCTTACTGAGTGAGGACACATAGGTAAAGCTCTACAGCCAAAACCCAAATCCAGAGCCGGGGATGTGGCTCGGTGGTTCTGCTGCCTGCCTCACAAGCACAAGGACCGGAGTTCGATCCCCACTACCAAAAAACAAAACAAAAACAAAGGAAAACCCAAATCCAGGTTTCTGGTTGCTTTTTACATTTTTTTTTTTTTTTTCCGGAACTGGGGCTGGAACCCAGCACTTCAGACACGCGAGGCACCCCAGCCCTGGACTCCATACTGAAGCCATAGTCAGCAGCTGCTGTGATTTTATTGTTTTACTTCCAATAACCTCCTAGCCTTGTTATGAGCTTCAAATGATCTAAAATACTATTTTATCAGAGCTTTATTTTTATTTGCGTATTATTACCATGAAATGGAAATTTTCACATTGTAATATGGTGATTGAGAGCAAAGAACTGTGTCATGGGGGTGTCATGGGGTTGTTCTGGCACCAATCCCACAGCTCCAGGTTGACTCCTGCAGGATCTATGAATGAGGCACTCGGACGTTTGTTAGCGAAGTGAATTCCTGAATCGCGTTCAAATATCATCCAACTTTAATTACCAGGGCACCGTGGAGTGCTTGCTCATGGAAAGCGTGTCTAAACGCCGTGACGAGTGGGGGTGTTTTCTTGGGTAATCCATCCACGTGCACCAGAGCCTAGCAAAATGTTCATGTGCCGCTAGGCTTCCATTGTGATTGTGGACATTGAAGAGAACTGACCGGGACATGTATTTGAATGTTTTATTGCTTTGTCGTAATGAGGTGGAGCCCAGTTTGGAGCTTTGAACTGGGAATCAAGAAACCTGATTTGTAGCTCTATCTGGGCAACACCTTGGCAAATCATTTCATCCTTCATGCAGCTGTCTTTCCCTGAGACAAATTAAGAGTTTGAATGGGTTTTTCTCCCTGGGATTTTATGAGTCTGTGATTTCAGTAATCCATGTATTTCTTTCAGTCCAATCACAATGCTGGCAAAGCGCTTCTTTTACACACGCACGAAACCTGAGTCTCCTTCTGTGGCTCCCCACTTCCTCCAGAGAAGATGTTACCTAAGACATGTCCAGGTAACTGAGCTGGAAAAATCGATAAAATCTGAAAAGTGATGATACATGCTTTGGAGGCTTAGGATTTCCCACAACGCAGTATGCATCTGATGATGATATAGCTCATGGTATTTTATCATACCGGAGACCCAATTACTGGGGAATTTCAGATATCACATGCAAAGACAAGTCAGAATAGTTTAGCTTTGGTACAAAGGTACAGCAATTTGAAAAGTGTTGTGTTGATCCCTAGAAAGTGGTCAGACAGGTTAGGCTCTTTTTCAGGTATTACAAAAGTTAACTTTTGAAGGAAAGGGGGAAAAAGGAAAATTGTGTTTGGTTTTATTTAGACTTTTAATTTCTGATAGGGCATTGTTTTTCCATAAGAAAGTGCCCTTTTTATACTGTCACCTTGGTACCAGTCAGGTGTGGAAAGGACATAGTAACTCAGGGTTAGAACATGATTAAAAATACAATGGATAGAATTTCCACTAAATTGTCAATAAACTATTGACAGGCATGGCACTGACTTTATATTAAAACCCAAAAGGTCTTTGAGGATCATTCTGTTTTACAAAGAGGCCCCTCTTCTCATTCTAGAGTTAAGAAATGGCCCAGGGTTGAACAGGAGATCTGGAGCTGAGCCCAGATAAGAACCTCAAAACAGCTGCATATGGTGGCACACACCTGTAATCCCAGCACTGAGGAGGCTGAGCCGGGAGGATTGCAGTGATTTCAAGGCCAATATGAACTTCATAGTGAGACCGTGTCTCAAAAACACCAAAATAGCCAGGCATGATGTTGCATGCCTGTGATCCCAGCACCTGGGAGGCTGAGGCAGGAGAATCACCATGAGTTCGAGGCCAGCCTGGGATACCTAGTAAGTTCAAGGCCAGTGTGAACTATATAATAAGACCCTGTCTCAAAATCAAAACAAAATGAAACGAAACCACCAAAACAACCAAACTAACAACGTAAAATCTAGGTTTCCTGGCTCCCTCCATGCCAGACAGAATTCTTACTACTGTTTCAGGGTCAAGACCTTTTTAAAATATCAAATGCCTTTGATCCCTACCACCACCAAAAAAAAGTAAAAAGCATCCCAGAATATCAAATACTCAGTTATTGGAGCTGTTGTCTTCACGCGAACCCTCATTCTGTCCAGTTATTTTTCTTTAAATTAAAAGAAAATACAGTTCTTTGACACATTAATCACATCTTGAACATGTTACTTCTTAAAAATCTGGAGGAAATTACAGTTTTTGGTAAAGAGGGCAGACTGCCTTTCTAGAAGGGTAGGGGTGAACCCATTCAGCAGTCTCCTGGTTCCCCTTCCGTGGCGACGTCCAGCTGGGATGTCCAGCTGGGGAGAGGGCTGCGGTGGAATTTGCATCCAGGACACAGGATTGTTTGTTGGTCTCAAGACATGTGTCACGTTGGCACACCGCTCTTCCCAGGCCGGCTCCCCGTGACTGTGAAGAAACCTCGAGCTGACGCAACTTCCACTGAGAGATAAGGTTCCCCAGCAGCTGCTGCCTGGCTGGGAGAGGATAGCTCTCCCGGGATGGTAGAGCGAGCTGGGTGCTGGTTCTGTCTGCTGCATTGGAACAGCATCGGGAAATCTAGGTCTTGTTAGAACAGGAAGAAAATGGAAGCCGTTACCAGTCAGCCGGTTAGGTCTCCAGGCCCCTTGAACGGTGCGTGCGTCACAGATGTGGCGAGCAGCTCTCCTTTCGTCATTCACTCCATCAACAACAATAAACACGTATTTGATGCCAACTAGGGGCACCGGGCTAGGCTGGGGGTGCGGAGGCCCCAGTGGCTCTTCGGGCGCTCCTGAATGGCCTGCGTGTCAGCAGCTGCGCAGGCTACCTGGCCCCAGGACTAACACAGCTCATCTTCCCCAGAGGAAGCCAAACAGAGCAGTTTTAATCGGAAAGCCTTTCAATCAAAAGCCTAAATTTCCAGGCTGATTGCAGGAAAGGGAAGGTTTCCATTCACTTCTAAGACTAACATGGTGCAAAAAACTGTTAATGCCCCACATCATGCAAAAATTTTATGAAATCTTCCTACTGTTGAGTAATTCTTCAAGAAACTTGAGCTATAAAACTGCGATTTTAGTAACTATAGAGTTCTAGGTCTTTTTGTGCTTTTTGTTGTTGAATCATTCATGTTTGTTGGTCTCGTTGCCTTCTCTAAATGTACTAAAATTTGGGGAGTTTTTGGTTTTTTGCTGGGTGACATGCAGATTCTGTTGGCTAGAGGCAGGTCCTGCAAGTCATAATGAAGACTAAATACTAAATAGCAGCTTTCTCAAACACCTCATTTTTTTGTTGTTTTTTTCAAGTGTCGTGGCCCGGAACAGTTAAATAACTTTCCGTACTGGTTCACTCTCTAATCCCTTCTTTGCTATTGACCTCCCCATTTCACAAATGCACACATTGCCCAGAGTCTCTGGTCCAAAGAGAGACCCCTGGAGACACCAAGCCCACCTTAATCCCAGCCCTGGGGTCCAGGGCTTCTACCCTGCCCTGAGGTGTCAGGTGACAGCGGGTGGGCGGCCCCTGCAGGGGAGCTGCACACAGTCACCTTTTCCAGGAGGTGCAGGCGCACCCTCCCCATCAGAAGCCAGCCCAGAGACCTCAGGCGGTGACGCAATTAGCCTCAGGGCTCCTGTGTCTCCTTCTGGTTTGGTTTTATAAGGAGTGGGACTGCTGGTGGAATCTGAAGGCCCTGGAGATAGGGACAGTCACATGCGGGTCAGAATCCTCATGAATCTTCTGGTCTCTCGTATTAGTCCTAATAATAGTGCATGCTAGTTGACCTTAAAAAGTTAAGCAACTGAAAGAGCATGCCTTCAGATGTGTTTGGATGAGTTCAGTAGATAGAGTTAAACGCGAACTCTCATAAGGATAGGAGCCTTGGCTGATTACCGTATTTCTCTCCTGTGTCTAGAATAATCCCAGCACTTGATAGGTATTTGGTGACTACTTGATGAGTGGGTGGATGAATGGATGGATAGATGTGAAATAAAACTCATACATCCTTTCAGTATCCAAGGAAAAAGAGATGTAAAATTAGATAAAAGTGACATTGGCTTGGTTTCCTCTTCATGTGTATTAGCAAATCATTTCTTAAGTGAATGAGGCCTATATTTGTGATAGGACAGAAGGGTTATCATTAATCAAAATATGATCCCGTAAGCCACACTGTATAACTTTGGTTAATAATTTGGGATGTTCATGTGTTCTCTCAAGACTGTGACGTTTATTGTGTCTGTGCAGTGGCAGGCTACTTATCAAAATTATAAATTATGTGTATTGGCTGTTTTACACTTAGCTACATCTCTACCCTATTTTAAATTTTTAATTAATTAATTGGCGGTACTGGTGCTTGAACCCAGGGTCTCCATTCTGAGCTACATTCCTACCCTTCCTTTTAAAAAATTATTTTGAAACAGGGCCTCAGTTGCCCAGGCTGAGCTTTAGCTTGCAATCCTCCTGCCTCAGCCTCCCACCGTACTGGGATTTCAGGCATGTGCCACCAGGCCTTGGCCACTTTTTTTTTTTTTTTTTTTTTTTTG